AAAACTTTCAGATCTGGCCTTTCTCTGGGAGTTCTAACCTTTGTAGGGGATCTGCATGGTTGAGTTCCTAGCTAGTAACTTGACTAATTGACGTCCCAATGGGATCCTTATCATAGAATATCAGAGTCACTCGGGGGCCTTTTCTAACATGTTCCCCCACTCTGGTTTCATCTCTTCATATCAAACATGCAAATCGGGGTTGCTTAAAGCCGTTTTTATAAAAGGGAGTATGTGAGATATCTTGGTTGTACTGAAAGAAAACATTGAGGACCATTATTTTCAGGAATTATAAAAATTCTTCCTTAGGCACCATAGAAAACAAAAAAGGAGTATGACCTTGTCCCTGTCCTCAATGGATTAAAAATGCCCAGAATACAAAAATGACTGAGTTGAGTTGGAGATGGAATGGTGAGAATTAATAACCACAAAAGTATTATACACAGTACAAAGTGTTTCCTCAAACCAGAAAGTGCCTGAAAGGTCTGTTATTACTACCATTTCTTTTTTCTTTTCTTTTCTTTTTTTTTTGAAACAGGGTCTCACTCCGTCACCCTAGGTAGAGTGCTGTGGTATCACGGCTCATAGCAACCTCAAACTCTTGGGCTCAAGAGATCCTCTTGCCTCAGCTTCCAGAGTAGCTGGGACTACAGGCACCTGCCACAGCTCCCATCTAATTACTACCATTTCTTTTGTTTGTTTGTATGTTTTTTACTTTTTAAATTAATTACTACCATTTCTGATGAAGTTTTTAAGACTTAAGGTATTTTTGTTGCATCAAAGTGATGCATTTTCTAGTTACTCACTAGCCTGAATTAATTTATGTAATCTTAACACCTGTTTTCACCAGCAGGCGCTTTGAGGGGGCAGGATAAAAAAAAAAAACTGTGTAATTTGGAATAAACAGGAAGGATAGAAAACATGGTGGTTTTGTGCTAAGTTGTGGCAAGGAACTCTAATGAAAGAAGGGGCCTTCAAGGGGTCCTGGGGAAAAAGAATTCCATCTTCAAAGAAGGGGACAAATGTTGACAACTCCATAATTGTTGACTAGGATCTGCATGCCAGTCATGGGCTAGTAAGTTAATTGCACTTCATAAATTGCTCTAATTTAAGGTAAAGCCTTAACGTATTTTAAGTCTTTCGTGACACTCTTTGACACTGAAAATACTATTTCGGAAAAGAAAACCTATCCAGCATTGCTTTTATAAATAAGAAAACTAATTGTTAAATAGGATTTTAAGAAGCATATCCACAAAGTAATGCCAATAGAAAAATATAAGTGAGAAGAATATATAGGAAATTGGGGAGAAAATGAACAAATTGCAGAACATTTCAGATCCTCCCAGTCTGGCTCTCAGGGAATGCTATTGTTGAATAGATCCATGAGTCAACCAATATTACAAAAGTCCAACTCTTTCCTCAGTTTCTCTTCCCACACTCCATGTCACAGCTGGTGAGATCCAAGCCACCAAATCCTCCTAAGATCTCCAGTTGGAAACCGTGATAAACAACATGTCACTAGATCTGTACTCCCTGCAAAACAATTCCGCAAGAGGCTGTGCCTGGTATAAATGGCAAGACATTTAGAAATGGCAAACGTTAGAGCAGGAACTGATCTGCTGTTCTAATCAGAGTCTGAAATACTGTACCTTGACGATGTGCCTTATAAAATACTTAGGATAAACTATAAAGTTGTGGCTCAGAAACAGTTCATTTTCCTAAATGAATGAAAAGGAAGAGAATTGGTAGTTGGAAAGGATTTAAATTGATCTTCACCTATAATAAACCTCAGCTGTTTATTCTGTCGTAAGAAGTAAAATAAAAGTGGCCCTAGAATTTACAAACTGACACCCTTTCCCCAACATAACAGCATACACATGGACCCTTTAAGTGATTTTTTTTCTCTTTAAAAATGCCGTTAAAATGTTTATGGTTCTCTGGGATCACATGTTGAGCCGGGATTATAAATACATATAAATATGCAGATGCTCTATTGAATGTTCCTGATCTCATTTGTATTTCTGAAGTTGTGTAAAAGATAACCTTTGTGGCTTTCAAAAACATCTTCTTTTACCCTAGGGGGCAAATTACCTCTATTTTCATTTCCTTTAAAGTTAGATCATTTTATAATTAAGAACGTATTGAAGCAGATTCTCCCCACATGTACGTTACTCCCTGGGGAGTAATTTATGCAAAGAGACCTCTGATTTAATAACATATAAGCTAAAAACTACACAATGGAGACCTGGGATTTTTTTAGTCAGTTTTGTAATCTTTATAAACAATCTACTGTTTGAAAGGTTATTGCTTTAAAAAAAAAACTCATCATACAAATAACTTGTAAGTAGTATTTATTAAGTTATTTTAAAATGACAAAATAATTAAAGGAATAATTATGTGGCTTGTCCAAAAAAGCATTAGCAAAATCAGTTCATGAGGCAAAGGAGGAGGAGGATGATAAAGACTGACATTTTCTAGGTCTTCGCTATTTACAAGACACTTTTACATGAAATATTCATTTGACCCTCACACATCTATAAAGTTTGTTAGCTAAACTTCATAAATCGGAAAACACAAGATCAGAGATTTTATCCTGGCCTTAGTTCCAATCATTATCAGGCGAAAGGTGAAGTCCAGGAGGACAAAATAGAATGACATCAAATCTTATGTTCTTCCCCTAACACAAAATCTTGAAAACAGTTGCTAATTCTTCTAATCTGAAAACAAGAAGAATCAGAAGCAAGTAGAAATATATGCTTACGAAGATGATTTAAAGTTCCTGTGAAATATTTAATTTTGAAAAATTCAGTGTGCTATCCTAAGCTAAATATTATCCTTCTAAAAAATGTAAAACAAAAACAAATGTAAACCAATAAGAAAAAGAAGGTAATGTCTTCCATTTTATTTGTTTTGTGTATTCAAGAGTGACAAACTTACAGAAAAACATCCAAGTGACAGATTGATGTACAAAGCATTTTAAAGTATATTTTGCATAATTATTTTAAACTGGGAGAGGAAATAGGAGATCTTCATAGTGTGTGTAATTTTAACAACCCTTAGAATATTATCAGAGACGTAAGCACCACTACATTCTAAATAAATTTTCTCTCAAAGAGTCATCCACAGCCTTTATGCTGCTGATTTATAATCATCTTAACAAGAGGTCATCACCTATACATACCTAGGACATTACACCAAACTTTGCACATGCAAATAAAAATCCCACACCCCACTATTTCTGTTGCCAGAAATGCTCTTTGCCTCCCTTCCACCTAACCAAATCCTACACAATTTTCAAAATCAACAAAAATTATTTCCTCTTCAATGAAATTATTTAAAGGTCCTATTAAAGTCAAGCTTAGCACCCAAATAATTTATCTTTTTTTCTCTGATTTTTTTCTTCTGATTTTTT